ATCTCATGTGCCTGTGGTTACAGAGTTGTTCCATTATTTTTGTGATGTAAATGGTAAACACATGGTCAAGATTACTTCAGAAGTGTGGCCTTTTCCTTTTTCTTATTTCCCTTGCTTCAGTTGAGCGGTGGAGGTAGTTACAGAATTGCCAGCAAACGCTGTGAGGACCAGATAGCAATTAGGTGATAATACACAAATGTCAGGCTTCAACAAATTAATCCCAAAACAGTCACCCGGATGTGTTTATATCACATAATCTAAACACAAACATAATGTTCCAATCTTTGTCATGGTGACTCAATAGCAGATGCTAAATGTATCCATTTTAACCTTTTGGCAATTCACCAGCATGTGTCACATAGATGTTTAAGACGATATTTTGAAGTAGATTTTTATTTTTTATTTTTTTACAATTACAGTATCATTTCACGATATTAAACTGTCTCTTGCAATACTTAAAAGTGAGAACAGGAAGCAACAAAAGAAATGGAGTAGTTTCAGATGCTGTCTGAGCATGTAGGGAAAATAAGTGCAGTAAAGTTGATGGACAGTATCTTTACTCAATCAGAACACGGATAATAAACATTTTCTGATTTTCTGTGGATACTCTTTTGGGCAAAGGATAAATCTGTTGTCTAGAGTATCCCTAAGTATTGTTATGTATATGCAGTCCCCACGCAGGGCAGATTTGTGCAGTGGGTTTTCTTGTCACATAGGACGTCCTGGCACCCAGCCTTTCCCTCCTTGGGAGAAGGTGTATTGGAGCTTTCCTCATGTGCCTTTCACTGATCATGCTATAAAGTCTTGTCGTCATTTCAGACCATATAGGTGCATATAGGTAGTTGCTCCCCCAGGACTGAGGGGGATCGTGGCTGGTTAAAACTTCTTTCATGACAAGTGCCATGAGTCTGGAGCAGCAGCAGTGTAAAGGCAGGCCAAGGAGTTGCTTGTGGTGCCATGGCTGGAGCTGTGCTGCTGGAAAAGAGCACATCTGCCTTCCCGAGACAGCAGTTCCCACATCTTTTGGTAATCCCATACCGAATGGGTGTTTGACTGGTTGAAAATACACTGGGACCTCAGTATTAGCAGCTGCTGAGGAGCTCTTAGCTCCTCTGCTGTGAGGCAGGCACCAGCGACTCACTAGATGGTGCAAATATTTTTCTAAATCTCAGATCATGCCCGTGTAAAACTTGTGAGAGAAGTTATAAGAGGTCATCAAAATTTGATGGGCAAACTGTTTCATAGGTTTCACCTCAAGAAGGGCTAATCATAACATGACCATTAGAGAATGGAACTCATAGTACAGCGCGGTGCTTTATTTTCAATATCAGTTTTCAGTATACTTAAAATTTTTCAACATGTATCCATTTTACATTGATCTGATAAAAATGAGGCTACATTAACAAGGTTTTTTTTTTCAAGAAACTGCATAGCTATGGTTATTCTTCATGAGTCTTAAGTACCAGTCAGTCTTGTATGTCTTTGAAGAAGACTTATTTAATTAATTAAATGCTAGGCATATTTTCATGGATGCTTTTGCTTGTCGGTGGGATCAGAGAGTCTCAACACTCGTAATTGCTGTTTTTAGACAGTTTAAGCATGTTTATGCTCCAATTTTTCCTTGATGCATGGATCGTGAGCAAAATGCCGGGCGCTTATCCTACACCATTATGGCTCATTCTGCGCACTGGTGGCCTAAAGTTGAAGGATCTGGCAAGGCAACATCAGACTCTGTACGCACGTCCAGGCATTTGCATTCTGCTGTGGGAAATCCTCACTGAGCGACATATATTTTTTTAACTCACTTTTCCCTTTATGATTTCCCTGAACTGCTGAATGGCCTGAGGAAAGAAAGATTGTCCCTGGAGAAGATTTCTAATTTTGCTCCTTGGGTGTGCAGAAACTTCTAAAGAGTCTAGAGGCTGATCCTGGTGGAGGAGGGCTGGGAAAGGTCGGGGCCCCTGAGTCTTGGCTCTTTTTTTCAGTGACTCTGCTGGTAAAGACCTATAGACATTCTCCAAGGCTCTCTGAAGACAAGAGACAGATCATTTTCCCCTCAGGATTTATAAGACTGCTCAAGGTTATGGCATTTTTAGGGCCCATGAGACAGTCTGGGTCTAAGCAAGTAGCCGGGAAAGCTGTAAATAGGGGAAGTAAATAGATGCTGCCTTTTTAATAAAAGCAGTGCCACTTTCAGCTGAGGCATGTGTAACTCTAGTGGTGTGCTCTCCGTATCTCTCTCAATAGCAGCAAATTAGCTGTCAGATTACTAAAGGGAATGTTTTATATAGCAGTAGTTTTATTGCATTATTCCATCTGGTTTTGTAAATAAATAAAAAAATGGTTTGCATTGAAAGCAAAATATTGCTTTCACAGCAATATTTTTCTTATTAGAAGGGGAAAAACAGGCATTTAATTAGAGTGACCTGTTTTGACAGTTTTAGGAGAGTTTATGTAAATGGGTGATCTTGAAGTGGAAAAATGTAAATCATGTTAGTATTGTCATAGTTTTTTACACTCTGTTTAGACAGTCTTCCAGGCTACTGAAATGCATTTCCTGGATAGTTGAAGTTTCTCAGTTTTCTTTTACACCAAAGACAGTGTAAAGGATATAACAGGTACTTGCTAGAAAATAGAAAAATCTGCTTATATGCTCACCCCTTTCAGGGTGACTGCAATGATGAAAAATCTAGCAGCCCCAGAAAGACTTTATTTGCAATTTAAAGCACACCGAGTTTGTCCTTTTACTTCCAAATTGATATTTATCTTTTCTTCCTGAAGATGTTCATGTATTTCACCATTTGTTTTAAAAAAACTAATGAAGACATTCGTATTTCTTGGCTGTTGGCCTGGCAGAAAATTACGTATGGGTATCCTTGTAAAAGGGTGATTATCTTACATGATACTGATTTTTTCCTACTTAGTCTAAGCTTACAGCAGGAAGAGGAAGCACAAGTAAATGATTAGGGTAAGAGTGAGGACAGGTCTAGTTCATTAGAAGATAATCTTTTTCTGAAAGAATTTTTCATACTTTAGAGGGAAAGTGGGTAGTCCCTTTCTTGGTAATTACAAACACAAGGAAGGGAGACAAGCAGAAGTTGTCTGGGAAAGTCTATGCTGATTCTGTAATATATTAAAAAAAAAAAAAAAAAAAAAAAAACAGTAATGTCTGGAACAGTAATTCCCTAAAGAGATTATAATATAGAATCGGTGAATGAATTATTGTAACACGTAGTATATCTGAATGAAAAAGATACCTAGTTTTTCTTCTTGGTGTTTAGGAGGAAGACGTATTCTTGACAAGTGCAATGCGTGTCCCCTAAAAGATTTGAAAAATATGTATTTAGATATCAGTACTAAATTATTTTGAACTCATTCCTACTAAGTGGAGGGTCTATATTCCACTTGAAGCGGAAGATCTATTAGGATCTGGGCTCATGTTTTGTTGCAATAGACTTCTTTGTAATTCACTACTTGCAACAAATTTCTCTCATTTACTGATGAGGTATAGAGTTAATCAGGCATGCAAATTATTTTTCCCCATCTAGAATGTTTCTTGGAAATAATCTATTTCTTTTGTACAATGTGAGTACTAGTGCATCAATCAGATGGCAAGAGTTTATCCGTTTTCACCTACAAGGAAGTTAGTTTTAAGGATATTTCATCTAGACCATTTCCTCATGTAAGGCAGTTCTTTTTGTATGAATGTATTAATAAAAGCAAATTTACAAATTAAATGAAGTGAATATTTCTGTCTTTGCTCTCTGTTTTTAATCTTTCTGAACTATGTTGTATCATACATCAAGTCGCTCCTTCATGTTTTTATCTATTATGACTTCATCTGAACAGAAGTCCTCAGCTTTGCACTTGAAACTTGTTTAATTTGACAGATTCCATATTTGTAACATCAAAATAGGTTGCCATGGAAAAAATTACAAGCTCTAATTAAAAATGCAGAGGTCACAATTTTCCCAGAACCAGTAGGGCATAGTAACTTTCCAGATCTGAATGGAGAACAGCAAGTGTTCAGAAAAAAATATGAGTCTGAAATTCTGATCAAGCTGCCTTGTACTCATTCGTGTGCTGTTTATCTCTCTTCTGTTGGTGCAAATTGCTTCTGGAAATCATGCAGAACCGCCTGGTCATCTTTGCAAGCTGAATATTCTCCATGTAATGTTTGAAAGTTTTGTCAAGCACATGATTCCATGATTTCCTTTAAAAGATGACGAACATTCAGCTAGGTTTTTTTTTTTATTTTCTTCAATAATTCTTAATTTGTTCAACTGTTCCCACTTCCTTCTCTTATAATATTTCTTTCTGAACAGTTCTTGTGCCTGTCCATTCTTTTTTGCTACGCTTTAGTTAAACTACAAGAATTGTCAGTTTAGTGCAGCCTTATGTTAGAAAGACATAAGCTATAACCACAACTGTGACACCTTGTGCCCATAGCATCTCCATGAGAAGACATTTTAAAAGCAGCTCATTTATAATGAATTCATGCATGGTGCCACGCTGATATGATTTACCCCTATTTTGTGCTGTGTTGGGGGCTACTGCACTAGTTTGTTACATGACACAGTCACACTCAAGGCATACTTTTCTATAAAAGAGGAATTTGATTTTTAATCTTTTTCACAGTCTTGGAGCTCTCTGTGTTTTTATTGAACTCATTCAATTTTTGTTTAAATTGCCAGTACTGTGTAATTATCTTATAATATTGTGCTCCCTGTCCTCCAGTAGTTATGGAGAGCAGTTTGTCTCTTTGAACTTGCTCCAGCGGCTCAAAAACAGTGATGTGTTGCTGCTGTAGTACAATGCAAACTTATCTCCACTTTCTTTTCAGGACTATTACAAAGCTTTTCTGTCCAGTGGAGATAAGGAGGCTTGCAGTCTGAATCCTGCACACCCAAACACTATTGTAGATGTAAAAATTAAACATCACTGAGCTGCTGACCGAGCTTGCCATAGTACAAAATGACTTTGCACTCTTTTCTCCCCAGAAACTGCCATTTAGCAGCAGATCTAACTGGGAACATATGCAGCCTTTTGTAATCAAGAAATAATCAGCCCAAGAGCCACATGGACCCCCTCAACCATTCCCTTGAGTGAAGGACAGTCAAAAGCTTGCTTAGAGGTAAGTAAACAATTCTTCCATGTCTGTTGATAAGCCACATGTGGGGCAGAAAAGGAAGTACATTTTTCTTAAGGTACTAAGAACCTAAAGGAACTTTAGGAAATTAAGAACCTAAACGGATTTTGTTGTTAACATAGGCTTTTTTTTTTTTTTTTTTTTTTTTTTTTTTTTTTTTTTTTTTTTTTTTTTTTTTTTTTTTTTTTTTTTGGAATGGCACGTATTTCAAAGCCAATATGCTTTCGGACTAATAGAAAAGGCCATAATTGACAAATCAACAATAGATTCTTTTTTCCCTAGCTCTTTTGGTTTTCAAGTAGCGTGGCTAATTAGGATGAGGGAGAGATGTCTGTATGAACTCTTACAAATGCTGATCTATAGTTTTATGAATGTAGAAAATGTCATTCATCTGTATTAATGAGAATTGCTTATATTTTTAAAGTGTAGGAATTGAGATAATTGCCATGAAAAATCCCAGGCAGATGCGTTGAACTGGTTTCACCAACTACTTCCTTTTACCATTCTGTCCTATAATAGGAAGTTCTCAGATAGTTATGTTAGTTACATTCTGAGGATCCAAAATGGCCATTTGAGTGAACTGAAACAGTGTCAGATCTTAACTTTCTTACTCCAGTTATAAATCACACTAGGTAAGAGAATGTCTGAATTCACATTGGAGTTCAGAGAGTAACCATGCTCCTGAGAATGTACAAGCTTCATCATCCATAATCCAGTTCTATGTTAATTGTTCATTTTATCTTTTCTAATGAGTAGACAAATTAAGCTAATGATTTAAAGTTCCTTGCCTAATATAATAATTTTATCATTTTTTATGTGCAGAAAGTTCAGGCCTGTTTCCTATCAAAAAAACAACGAAAAGCACACTATAGTCATTTTACATAAGCTCAGTATTGTCATTTTCCCATGTTAATTGTTAAGGTGTTTTTTATTGCTATCTGTATATCTTCTGCATTGATTAAATTATACAGCGAGGTACTCTGGTATAGGGTAAGTATAATTAACAGAATCTCTGCTGATCTTCTTTCCGTAAGCGGAATCTCCTGAAAAATGTCTCATCCTTAAAGTGTTCTAAGAGGCAAGAAGCTGGAGTAAAACTGTAGCAGAGAGCTTGGTGCAACAGGATAGCATCCGTAAACTCACTTTGTACTAAAGAATCCAATTCACAACGTTGTTAAGTGCAAACAGGAATATTTTTCTATTAGATGACAAACAAGCTGAAGGCTGTTTTGTTTTGTTTTCTCCTTGTTTCTTTTAACTATTTGTCAGTTAGTACACTGTTAGTTGGTTAGACAAAGTCTGGAATGTGTCACAAGATAAATTTACTCTTAAACAACCAGGAGTATTGCCACATCAGATTTGATGGCCAAAGCAAAGACATCTGTGAACAGACTATGTGCAGGACATTTACCATGGATAGTATTTCATAAAATTGTTCTTGCACAGCTATTCAGTACTACTTGCATGCTTGTTGAAAGGTCACACTGTGTGATTCCTTTTCTCTTTCTCCCATGAATGAGCACTCTCCATATTAGCCTCAATGAAGGCTTTGTTTTTGTCTTAAGTATTTATCATAAACTTCCTAGTGATCAGAAGAGGAAATCCTATCGTAAGGGACATTTATTTTCTCAGACTGCCAGGCTAGAAATATCGCTTATTGGGGATGGACCTGAGAGTTTAATGAGAGCATTTGCTTAAGTCCATAACCTTTTTTTTTCTTTGTAGGGCCAGTAGTCAAGTACCACTGATACAGCTTTTCAAAAGATTATTTTGGTATTATGTGTGAGACACAGACTTTTCTTCACCTTGGAAACTTTGGCTGGTCCAATTATATATGTTTTTCATCATGTGGCAAGAGAAATACAGAACCAGGTTTAGTGACTTCTCCAACGCCGACCAGGAAAATGTCTGCTAGACTCTGTGTTCCTGGTAATTCAGAGAAACTCAGTGGAAAAGCACACTTGCTTACTCAAGGGAACTATTGTATAGGGACAGATGGGGGCTCAAAGACAGTTTCTAATAATAATAATAAGACTCTGTTCCCAGAGTCTATGTTGATGTGCTGAGAAGTTTAATTTACTGCAGCTATTAGATGCATAAATAATACATAAAGATAATGATAATACTTTTGTTTAATCTCTGATGGAATATGGATTCAATTGGTCTGAAAAAAAAAAGTATGCACAAGGAATATATGGAATTAGGTTTAACTTCCAATCAACAAAAATGTTGATTGGAAGTTTTGATTCCAAAAAACAATCAATACAGGAAAGACTGCATGTTGCTCTTTTTCTGATTTTGAGTAATTTATTAGGGAAAGATGTGCATTTACCACAGATTCAAGAAATATTTTCTAAATTATATCACAGTAGAATGAAAACCTTCCTTGAGCTGTATGGACTAAGAGACAGGAGGTTATTTATGGCATATTTGTTCCATTTTCTAATGGAAACGATTGTCTGACATTGCTATGGCCATAGTTTTCTAATTGTTCAAAGTAATTTGCAGAGATTAATGCTCTCTGTCCAATTCATTTAATGTGATTTAATTTCATAACACTATGGGCATTATCAGTAGTCAAAGTAACCCCTGAAAAAACCCAGGAGGCAAAAATGCTTGTCGAGTTTAGCTGTTGAGACTGGATGGCACTGCTTCATGAAAAATGAAGTAATTGTTTTACAGGAATGAACCATCAGGAAAGTACTGGCTCTATCAGAATGCTTTGTCTTTTATCAAATGAGTTTTTGGGTCATAAATTGGCGTTTATTTTCACATTTATCGTAGTGCTTTTTTGTGTCCCTGATAATCCAGGACGTTGCTTAGACTTTGCTAAGCCTACAGTTACCAGTGGAAAAAAAAAATCACCTTTTTCACAGGTTGAATTTAGCATTTTACGTATTGCAAACATGCACACAAATGCAAAGACATCTTCTATTTCAACTTTATGTTGAAAGTGTAAATGTATGTGAGAGTCTAAAAGTAACGCAAGTTCACAGAATTGTGAAATGAGAAGATACCTCTGAAGGTCCCTAATCCAGCTGTCTTCTCCCATCCATTTAAAGCAGGTCAACTAATGCAGATTGTTCCCTTTCCCATAAATGTGCACAAACATGAAAAAGATGGGGATGGACATAGTCTATGGACCTTAGAATGAGCAGTGGGGAAAAGACAGATAGTCATGGTGTATCCCTTGTCACTTGCTGGGAACCAAGTTCCCAGCCTACATATTCCCACTTTACTTGTAACTTTACTCAGCAGAAATGGCCTTCTAGGTTGTGCTCTGCACAGTTTTAATAGTAATATCCATTAAGAAAGAAGATAATCTCTCTGTGTAGACAATATTGTTTTGAACAATGGCACTGGTAGCTAATTTGACGTCTGGTATGGCATTTTAATACTCTATGCAGAATCTGTTTTTTGGTTGTATTAGCTGAGGTGTTTTCAGAGCAACGCTTTGGAAATGAGCACAGCAGGCAAGTCAGCAATGGAATTGCCCCTGACAAGGTTACATCTTTAGGTTAATCCTCCCAACTCTGCAAGAAAAACAACATTTCAAGTAGGAGACAAGTAAAATACTCTACCTGGACACCTGTCCAACATGCCAAGGAACCATCAGGACAAGCCCCCAACCTGCACAGAACCCACCCATCCCTAAAGCCCACCCTAAGGCCTCCAGCCATGAGCACTAAGCCCGCCCTATGGCCTCCAGCAGGCCGCACTGCCGCGGGTCAGTCACTGCGCTGTGCCGCCAGTGTGCACACTGTGCCTGGCAGAGGGGTGGCCGCACTGATGCCCTCCCTTGACCACAGCCCCATAGTGCAGCCAGGCGACTTGTGCGCACGTGGCCCTGCTGGCCGCTGTCCAGCTGATCGCGTGCAGGCGCACAGACCAAGGTGTGCTTAAGGCACTTGGCGTCTTTGTTGCCATCTCCAGCATCCCCAGAATAGTAAGGTAGGTAAGGTAGCCTCTTCCTGTACTCAAAGGCAGACAGCCTAGTGCATTTGCTCACTGGTGCTCTCCAGTGCCACCGTGCATTGCAGCATCTGAGCTGCTCCGTGGTGCTCACGGACTGGGAGTGCCTCTGCCATTCTCAGCTTGTTGCCCGTTGGCAGCCTCGCTGTGGCCGCTGCAGTGCAGGCGTGTGGCCGCCTCGGAGCAGCAGAGTGAAGCGGCAGGCCCTTCGCGGTGATCGTGAGTGCTTTGTGCCCGCGGTCGCGGAGCTGCTCCCTTCTTTCCCAAGGGCAGCCCCAGAGCCCCTCGCCGCTTCCCGCCGCTCTCCCTGGCGCGGGCAGATCAGCGCCGGGCGGCTGAAGCCCCGCTCCACGACCGCGCGAGGGCGCCGCTCTGGGCCTCTCCTCGCTGCGGCGGCGCCGCCCCGCCTGCGCGGAACGCGAGTGCTAGGCCCTGCTGCGCCTGCGCGGCGCCTGCGCCTCGCCGAGGCCTCGCCCCGCTCGCGCGGAGCTCCAGTGCTGGGCCCTGCTGCGCCTGCGCGGCGCCGGAGTGGGGCTGCGGGGCCCCCGGGAACGGGAGTTTCGCGCGGCGGCAGCCGCAGCACCAGTGGCGGGTGAGGCGGGGATCGAGGCACCGGCGAGGGGAGCTGCTGGCGACGGCCCCGGCGGGCGGCGTCCTACCTGCGGGGCACGCTCCTCATGCGGGGCGGGCGCCGGCTGGGCCATGGCAGCGCGGGGTCGGCTCTGGCGGAGTGCGGGCTCGAGCTGCCCTTTGCCGGTTTCACTTTAGGACCCTGGTCCTCCCCGACCTGCAGTCGCA